CGTGTCAATTTGCGCACGTGACCTCAGTGGGTCCGCGTGTGCAGGAAGCGGCTCATGGATGGCGTGTTAAATCTCTCTTCATCCTGCGCGGAGCGCCGCGTGGGCTCCCGTGCGACTCCCTGACCAACCGACCCAGGTCCTGATCCGTAGCGCCACAGCGCTGGCTGTTGACGCGCGACGTCGTTGTTCTGGGGCCCTATTCGTGTTTGGGCCTTTCCCGGAGGCCCGGAGGTCTAGGTGGACCCGGTGTTTTCTTCCTTCAGGGCCTTCAGCCTTTAGGTTTTCAATCCCCGAGTCGCGCCCCGTTCCCATCACCTAAGTTTCTGGGGCTCCCGGGGGACTGAGCCACATCTGCAGCTTCTCAGGTCTGGATGGCGACAGGGAGTGGGCATCGCTGTCCGGGGTGGGGGCTGGCCCTGAGTCCCAGGGGCGTCTGAGCAGCGCTGCCCATTGGGGGACTTCCCAAGGCCTGCTGAGTTCTGCTTTAGGGCTCCGCCCCCGCCACCCTGTGTCTGTTTTATGTTTGATTTGTCTCCTCCTTCCCCGCCTTGAGTGTCCCCTGGGGTGGCACACCCCATCATTTGCTGCCGATCTTCCCTCTGGGGACACTGCTGGAAGGGGTGGCTAATCCGCCAGCCTTCCTAGTCCTGGAGCGAGCGGAGCTGGGGAGACTACAACTCCCAGAGGTCTCAGGGCTGCAGCTCTCTGGTCTGGCCAGGCCTCTTCTTTAGTGACAAATTGGCTGGCCAATGGCTTCAACAGCTGCACCCAGGCCCACACTCAGAGACCAATCCCGGGGAACTTAGAGGGATGTTTCCTATTTTGAGGCATCCAGTCAGGAAAAAAATGGAATTGAAAGGAAAAATGTTCCTGCCCAGCGCTCGGTCTAAAAAAGGAACAAATACTTTCCTTTCTTTAAAAAAAAAGCCTGTGATCTCGTTTTCCTGATCTAGCTTCCAGTGTTGTGTATATTCGGCCATTTGTGGACAATATTTTCTGGTTTCAGATTGTGGATGTTATTGTTGGGAAAGACGAAAAAGGCAGAAAGATCCCAGAATATCTAATCCATTTTAATGGTTGGAACAGAAGGTGAGTGTACTTGTTAGACCTGGCTGAAAATTGATCATATCTGCAGCCCAGGAACATTGCAAACTTCCTTAAGTTTTAGAAACACTTGTAGAAAAGTTTCATATCCAGTTTTTGCCTTTTTTATCAAACTTTGCCTATTCAGAAAAATGATTATTTTTAAGTTGTTTAGATTTGGGTTCTCTAAGGGTAATTCTGGAAACCCCAGTTGCTTCTATGTCTAAATGAGTTCCTTTTTCAGTTTATTTGTTTTTTTGTGATTTTAAAATATTTAAATAGTTTTCTAAAATGTAAGTCATTCTGGGACACTTGTGTGCCTGTGAGGTGCTTTTAGCATTTGTTTCATAGCAAACTAAAATACTGAATTTTACATCCTTTTTTGTTTGTTTTTTTAGCTGGGATAGGTGGGCAACTGAAGATCATGTCCTCCGTGACACCGATGAAAATCGGAGATTACAGCGTAAATTGGCAAGAAAAGCTGTAGCTCGCCTGTGAGAATACAAAAATCATGACAAATGTGTTTTCTCTTAGTGTGTAGAATTTTTGTGATATAAAAGTAAAAATATGACAAACGTGGTTTATTATGCAATTTGACATATTAAAAATGTGTTAGGGAAGAGTGTTTCTGTTGTGTTGTAAATACGTGCTGTGTTTCCTAGAGGATTTTGTATAATCTGAAATGGGGATCACCATTTATGTTCTAAAATTTAATTATTTGTCAGGTGCTTAAGAATCTTTGTTACTATATCTTGTTTTTACCTCAAAACCTGTATCAGTCAACATCAAAATTTATTTCAATCATGTTTTTGTTTTTGTTTTCCAGAAGCACAGGAAGGAAGAAGAAGCGCTGTCGGTTGCCTGGTGTTGATTGTGTTTTAAAAAACCTCCCCGTTGAAGAAAGAGAGAAAAATGATGAGAACTGTGAGTGGTCTGACTTATTTTCTCTGGTTAAAAG